GAACCTCACCCCACGTCACTGATATATACACACACACACACACACACATACATACATACAATATATTTGATATTGAGCATATCCAATATATTTTATAGCATACCACTCTGTGCCAATATGAAGAGTGAGCCTCCAGTTCCAACCTGGCCTTGCAGGCTCATTCCCCCTGAGCCAATCAGATTGGATCATGAGAAGGAGGAAGTGCTACAGTTGCCTCAATTTTATTGAGATGACATGTTTCCTCCACAGAGGTTGACTCGTTGACTTTTTCCAGAGTACAGAATGTTTTTGAAGTGCAGCTTATGGCTGATGACTGCAAAGGAAGAGATCTCACATGGCAAACAATTTACTTGGTGTCTGCATTTTTGTGATTCCGTGATTACCAGCAAGTATAAAGTAAACCTTAGTGGCTGCTATGTCTCCTCTAGTCTCTGCTCAGCAACATGAGCCCAACACGACGGTGGAACCTGCTAAGGCTCTCTAACAAAGGCTGCTTTCTACAGCCCAAATCCACACTCAGCACCCTCTACCAGACACAAAGGATTCCTTCTTCATCCTGTTCATCCTGCGCATTCAGCTTCTCGCTCATATTTAAGAAGTGAGGACACACAGAGGCCAAGGAGTGTTTCTGGATATACAGGATAATTATGCTTCTGTCACTCAACTCTGTTATGGGCATTTATACAGAAAACCCAAAGACAGCTGTGAAGCCCCTTATAACTGTCTCTTAAAGATGAAAGCACTGAAAGAATAAAAAATTTAAGCCAAACTAATTGTAATATTTGCTGCAGTTTTTGTGGGACATCTGAATATTATACATTTAGTTTCAGAACAATATTCAGATGTAAATGATAAAAAAAAAACAATATTCTTTATAAATTGATCATATGAAAGGCTTTGGATGTTTTGCGTTTTTCTCGCAGCAGATTTTGTGTAGAAGGATGTCAGTAGGTGGCCATCAACAAAACTCTAAAATAAAATAAAAGCTTTGATTTTATTTAGTCATTTTTATTTGAGCAACTGTTTCAGAGTGAGCTCCACAAGAACCATGAGAAGGTCCTTGCTTTCCTTCTAAGCAGGGAGCTTCAGGTGTGGAAGAGGAAACAGAGGAGCCGTTTGTCAGGAGGCTGATCCAGGGAAAAACACGTTTCCCCGTTCTGCATTCTTTGGTGTGTTTATCACAGAAAAAAGCACAGAGCGGACAGCAACACATATTCAGATCATAAGACAAGATGATTCAAGATATTTAGGTGACAATAATAATATAAAATAAATAAATATTTTAATTCAGATCATCTTCAAAGAGTTATTGTGGATGGTGATGCTGTGGGCGGGAAGGGTCTCTACTGACAGTCAGTCTTGTAATGAAACTTCTGACTGAAGCCTCTTCCTGTATGACAGTCATGATGGTCATGACATGCTAACTTGTCAGTTTCTGGGCAGCAGAGACGATATCCCTGAGGACACACTGTTGGTGTCCTGGGTGACACCAAATGTCTCTCTGGGTTAGCAGAGCAACCAAGAGATTTAGAGTCCTATAAACCTCTGTCTGCCTTTATGGTTAAAAAGCCGGGCAGAGAGATGTTGGAGTAGAAGGTATGATCCTTGATCATCATGATGGATGGAAGAGTTGGTTGGAACTTCCTCTTCCTGCTCAAAAATCTACAAAAAGAAGAAACCAGAAGCAACACAACAGAGCCACACCAACATGCTGCCACCATAATGCACCAATCCAACTGGATTTTAAAGATGCTCTAAACAGTACAATCTTATACTTCAAGGTATTTTAGATTTAGAAATAGAAAACGTTGAAACACCCCTTTACTATAGCACCAAGAGAAAGCTCCAATGCAGATGAATGTTTTATTGTGTCCCAGTGGATAAAAATCATTAAAATCAATTTCTTACTTAGGCCAACATTTTCTTGTTACCAACTGCCCCAGTCTACTGTTTAATGCTTTTTAAGCCCAGTGGAGTGAATCACTTTTCCTACCAATTCATATTAATCAACTATCTATTTAAAACAACTCAAGAGCTACTTTCTATTTTCCTACAAAATTAAAGCCTGTGCATAAATTCAGGGACAAATTTTTAAACCACTCAGCTTCATGTTTGGGGCTCCTGACAGTTAAGTTTTTTTCTACTGACAGTCATGGTGACAAAGCAACTGGACAGGCCTTTGCAACACAGACTTCATTTTACGTAGAGGTAATACCTTCACAGGGCGGTGCAGTTTCTTGATAAAAATGAAAACATTTGTGACTGACCAAGAAAATCATCTTCTGCGCCATTGAATATAACAATTAATACAATGGATTAAACAACACTTAACTCTAAACATTTACCACACCATGACTTCTCCTCTCTCTTGCTTCATGAGGCCTGCATCAGCGTTGCAGCCAGGTCACACAGTGTGCTGCACACATCACCATGACATGTGATGAAAACAAACTATGAGCAATGAGCATGTTCTCTGTGTGCCTTTACCTCCACTCCTTTCTTATATTACATTTATTCACAAATTAAATCTAATTTTAAATTTAATAAAAATGTCTGTTGCAGTGCATTACAAGTGAGCAAAGCTGTAAAAAACAAACAATTTTCACCAACAGACTATTGTCCAGGGTAAAGAGCCATTCAAAAGCATGGGATCATTTGTGAACGTCACATAACTTTTTTTAGCAGATTGTTTCACCAAAGGCCTTTCATAAAGTAGCTCATGTTTTAACTGCATCTTGCTTGGATTACTGAACTCTGTGTGCTGGACTCAATAAATCCTCAGCTCAGAGGAATGAAAGCTGTTCAAAGTGCTGCTGAACACCTTCTGACAAGACTAATGAGCTGGACTGAGAAGCAGGTCTTTATATTGGGATTTCAAAACTTGACTACCAGGACAGAATGACAACGAGAAAAGATTTAAATGTGCGAAGATGTTATTCCATCTGCGTATGAATAATATATGGTTCCTCACTCAGCTGCATCCAAGTCTCTTAAGTGTAAAAGCTTCAGGCCCTTCAGCTGAAATGGATTCCATTTCGTGGAAGATTGGAGCCATGTAGGTTTTATTTTAATCTACTTCTAAGAACCTCAATATGAAATTCTGTCCATGAAAAAATAAATGGCTTAGATTTTGTTTGCAGTTATTAAGCCCCACAAAGTGAAGAAACTAGTTATGTAATCTCTATTAGCCAAGGACAGCTATGAGATTCTGATGGTATGAAAACTTTACACTTCGCTTTCTAGATGTAAACTACATTTACAACATGTGTGTAATGAAACGACCGTAACAACATTCTTTGCTTTTCATGCCATTAATAATACCACTGTGTTTAGTGTGGAAGCTCCAGGTGAGTGTGGTTGGACATCAGCCTCAGACCTCTTGAAGGTCAAGCGTCCACAGTAAACCAACCACCAACCCCTATTATGCACCAGAGTCACATCATACAAGTGAATCCACTGAGATCATTGGGTATGTGAGCTTTAAGAACATGAAGTTGTGGTTGTAGAACCAAACAGGCATGAAGCAGAGCTCTGTCTAGTTTCTTATACAGACTGGATGTCCTAATGTATTCAGAGCTTTAAAGGTAAAGTTTTTGAGTTGCAAAGTCAGCAAGTGACTGACTGCATCCAATTCTGCTGATCAACACATCTCAGATCATAAGGACACTGGATGATGATGATTTTTAGAACAGCGCTTTCTCTCAGTGATACTCTCTGGTTCTGGGTGCTGTGTAGCTAGAAGGTTTTTTGCTGTTACTTGTTTACTTTCGGCCAGTTGTTATGATATATAACCATGGCAACAAGGTATTATTTTTACGACCAGGGGCAGCTCAAATCATACCTGAACTATGACCCCAAATCCCAGGAGGTGGAATGGAGGCTTCGTGGATACAAAGAGAGATGAAGGAAGTTCAAAACATCTCTTCTATTTATCGTAACGATCAAGGATCATTTCCCAGACTCTCTCTGCTCTGCCTTCTAACCATACAATCAGACAGATTTACAGAGCAGCGGCAAAGCAAAAGACATGGATTAGCCGAGCCGCCAACAACAATATTATATCCAGGACATAATATTGTGGAACATCATCTCTGCTGCCAAGCTGAAGATCTGTTAACATGACAGTAATTAGACATGAGATCTTTCCTGCCTACATCATCATCATCCACAATGACTCTGAGCATATTTGGATGATGCGAGTTATGACATTTAATTTTCCTTTAGGAACAATAAAGTACACCTGAATTGGGTGGCTGTTAGGTGTACTAGATATTTCCCTTAAAGAGCAGCTGTAGACGTGGTAGGAAACAAATGCCTTCTTCTGATGACCAGAGGATTCCTCTAACATGAGAACATGTACTCTTACAAAAAAGTAGTTGGGTTAAGACGTTCAACTTCACTGAACCACTGAATTATGCACTATGATATCAGAGTTTTAATCCACCAGAATGAACAAATTATTTAGCAGACATAAGAAGTGTTCAAATAAATCAATGACGGCTCCTCAGGGGTTCATCTATAAAGAGGAAACACATGGTGACAACCTGAATGGTCATTGTAAGACTCTTAGAAACTAATCTCCTTTAATTGGATAGTGAAGGCTTAGAATCAGTGCTGTGACTGATTGTGATGAGCATCATTATAGTGCACAGTGAATGGCACCGCCTGAGGACCTCACTACTTTTTGTATCCCACATACAAATCATGGAGAAACAGTCTGATACATTACTGAATAGAAACACATTGTACACCTTTAGTAAGAAGATTCAGTTCAGTTTACTCATATACAATATATACATCATCTTTAGGCATTTTATAAAAACAGCTCAATTCAATCCAGACCCACAATGCTGTGCAGTTCTGGATCGAAGTTCAGTGAAATGATCAACATTTCATTTTCTACTGACATTGATTTATCACAATAGAAATTATCTTTTTATTGTCCAGCCCTAGATGAGCACAGGCAGTTGAACATGTCTGGAGTTAGCGCTGTCACAATAAGCATTAACTCAATAACTCACATGATAATATAAATAATTTTAATAATTTCCTTTATTTATTGTTCTCTTTTTCTCTCTCTCTTTCTACCAAAACCAGATGACAAAAGTCTTCAGTCCGGAGCTTCGTTCTCATCTAGCCTTTTTTTTGCAGGACGATTGTTTCCAGAGATTCATTTTTCATTTTATTTGTTGTTTCTGTTTAATTTATTTTGGATATTTAAAATGTCTTCCAGTTCCAGTGTTAAATGTTTGTTAGGATTTAAAGTTTCTTGATCTTTGAGATTGTGTTCTTACATTATTATACTGTTACCATTATATTGATTGAAAATATTGTAATTTATCGCAATAACTTCTGGGATAATTTATTGCTCAGTAAAAATTGTCACCGTAACAGGCCTACTGGGAGTTAATGACATGGAAAACACACAGGCTCAGCATGACTGTGGAACCTCCACATGGTACTCTGGGTCGTCCACATGTTTGTTTCCAGACTCAACATGCCGACTGGAGGCAGTGGGAATTTGACATGCAAGTCATCCTATTTCTACTGCTGCCTCACGCAGACACCCCTGAGCAGAGCACAAACCCTGACTGCTGACGTCAGAGACAGGTTAGCAGGAGTAATCCTTTGGTCAGGCTGGTTTCTTAAGACTGGGCTCAGGTACCGTAATTCTTCATGTTAGACCCTGAAAGGTTATGGTTCATCAAATGTTCTCTTCATGTCTCCTTACACTACATAGCTGCTAACACATTTCCTACCACCATTACTAAATGTAGGC